ACACTTTTAGATTATGCCACGATAAAGTGACAAGGTCAATCTGGCTATTATCATTAACTAGAGATTTATTAATTTCCAGTATAACTCTCATTGTTAGAATGTTAATTCATATATTTCAATCTAATTACATTAAATTACAGAAATGCCAACTTAAATAGATTGAAATATTAACATCTAACAATCTAACATTAGATTATATATTGTTATGCGGCCATAGGGTGTGACCACATAATTGAGTGTTTTAGGTGTCGTTTGAGACGGTGGCGGACAACCGTAGGCATTGAACCTGCGATCGCGCCAATAGTTGTGGTGACCACTGGTTGAGTATCACTGGACTATCGGTTATATGAGTACCGATAGGGAACTCAGGTGTTCTACCCATGTGTATGGCTATTGGACTGCCATAACATAGGCGTTAGTGTGTGAGAAGGGACCGGTATGTCGACGGGGACATGACTCGGCAACTCGAACCCCTGAGTTCGTTGCCAGTCGTTCCAGTGTTGGCCACTGTTGGGTATGAGGTCTGAGATATGTGCACTCAGACATGTGAATGACAATCACTAACTGAATCAAAACTAATCACAATTTATTGGAAACTGTTTGAGATTACAATCATTGTGTGAATGGTTGTGAACAAAGAGATAACTGTACGTTAGGTATGGGTGAGAGCTCTGTGTGTCAACCGTTGTGATTGAATGCACGCCAGAGTCTGAGTGAGTGAGAGCTCCGGCCCGACCGTTGAGGTCGAGAGCTAACCAGAGTCTGAGTGAGTGATATGCTTTGTGTGTGAATACATAGTGTGAATACAGTATGAATACAGTACATGTATTTTGGAGGGAAAGTTATACAAAGCGGTATACTTAAACATATGAATAACAGCGACATCTAGTGGTAGTCATGCCATGAGAATATATTAGTAAATTGTTTGCAATACACGGAATAATAATGATGATGAACATGCACATTTTAAATTCTTTACGAATTAATGTGTTATAATTTAATACATATATTAAATGTACAATTGTTTAATACATTAATAGTGTAGAAATAATTAATACATCATTTCTCATAAATAATAAGTACTGTAAAAATAATTTATGCTCGTGATTAAACAACAAGGTTCTTTAATAATTTATTAACTCGTTAAAGTTTTTATGTTTAATTTTGTAAAATTCTTGCGAATATAATTACAAAGAATAATAAAATATTAAATTATAAAATTTACTTTGTTTATTTCTAGATAATTTATTTAGTGTTTTTAAGTGTGAAAAATAATGAAAAATTATATTAGATTTACTACTGGTATAGTGTATAATATGAGTTTTAATTTTAATAATTAAATAATATATCATGATAAGCGTTTTGGTATATAATTTGTAAAAATTTATCAGATAAATGTTGAATAATCACTACCTATCATTTATCATAGAGATTACACGGCAAAAGTTGATGAGTTTCTAGTTTTCACAAACTAAATATAGTGTATAATAACAATTGTTTAGCATTTTATCACTGATTTTACATGAATTGCTTGAAAACTAGAAACTCATCAACTTTTGCCGTGTAATCTCTATGATAAATGATAGGTAGTGATTATTCAACATTTATCTGATAAATTTTTACAAATTATATACCAAAACACTATTATTTGTATTCAAAATACACTGAATTTTGTCTACATAGTAATTGCAAAAAAATTTACACAAACTCTTGGTTGTTGAATTTATTTTAATTAGCATTTCAATTTATGAAATGGTTATAAATATAAAACATGCTTTTAATAATTAAATCAAATTAAGAAAAATTTCCAAAATAAAGCTAGATTTTGTGACCAAAATCAATGAGATTTCAGGAGTAATATTTTGTCAGCTTATAAATTATAAGTTATAATATACATTTTTAAATCCCTTAAGGTATTATATGATAAACCAAAAATGTCAATCATCATATTATGGGAACATAATTAAAATCAAATATTTTATATTATCTAGAACCAATCAATACATATAATTTACTGCAAGTTTATATTTTTAAAGGTTATTTTGTAATATTTTTTAAGAATGCAAATAAAATATATCAAAATAATAACTTAATTTATTTATTAAATAGTTAATAAAGCGTAGTACAAAAAAATACAAAGTAACTTTTATTAATAAAACTTTAACTTTATTTTTGTCTTATAATAAACTAATTTAATTTTGGAAATGTTTAATTAGATTTTGTAATCAATTGTACTGCTTATATTATATTTTATTATATTTTGATAATAAATAATTCAAATCATGAAACTTGTGACCATTTAAGCTTTTCAGTTTAGGAGGGCCCACAGTAATGCAAGGGACCCTCATCTGTCTATATGGATTAAATCACTTATGCATTTATGCTATATTTAACTTTATTTTATACACTTTTGGTGGTTGGGTTAACTACAAGACCTTCATAGTACTCTTGGTCTTGTGAATCACCAAATACGTCAACCATCATGACTTTTACCGTAGGTGATAATAACTTATAAATATTTAATAATATTGTTTAACTCATTATTATATGATTTAATAAATATCATTTAGAGTAAGAGTGATCATATATAGTTAGAGCACATGTTTAACGTCGATCAAAACTTTTGCTAAAAATTAAGTAAAAATATCTTATATTAAAGTTATAATGGTTTATGAAATCATAGTAAACAGTTGTCACAAAGATTTTAATAAAGTATACTATACTTACTTTTACTATATAGATTTTAACTGTGTTTTTAAAATTGTTTTATAAAAATATTATTGTTTATAATTATTTTAAGATCATAAATAAAGTTTAATATAGATGTATATTTATATATATTATATTTTATCTTTATATAAAAATACTTTTTATAATAAAATTATTTATTTATTTTTTAAAGAAACTAATTTAACGCAAAATGACAAGAAGTGTTGACGTGAAGACCACATCGGGAAGAGTGAGGGGTCGAGTGGTTGTGGCGCTCAACACAACTCTATACCAATTTCAAGGCATACCATACGCTGAGCCACCCATCGGTGCGCTCAGGTTTGCTANGTTGTGGCGCTCAACACAACTCTATACCAATTTCAAGGCATACCATACGCTGAGCCACCCATCGGTGCGCTCAGGTTTGCTAAACCCAAACCCATTCAAGAGCCACGAAATGTAAGTTTTTAAAACATTATATAAAAATAATACAATTATTTTTAATTATTAGGATATAATAGACGCCACAAAACCGGGAAACTCTTGCTTACAAAAAGAATTGCCAAATGCCCCGGAAGTACAAAATCAAAGTGAGGACAGTCTTGTGCTAAACATATGGACACCAACTCTACCCACAGATAACACAACTAATCAGTCACTCAAACCGGTTATGTTTTGGATATATGGCGGAGGGCTTAGCGTTGGGACCATTAATATGTTTAACGGCGGACCACTGGCCGCACACGACGTAGTATTTGTGGCCCCGAACTATAGGTTGGGTTACTTTGGTTTTCTATACGGGGATCGGGAGGACGCACCCGGAAATGTGGGCTTTTATGATCAGTTATTGGCACTCAAATGGGTATTAATTGCTTGTTTTTAATAATAATTATTTTGTTTAGTAAAATATTATTAAAATGTTTATGAATTAATGACATAATAATAGGTTAGAGAAAACATCCATCAGTTCGGTGGAGATAGGGATCAGATCACCATTTTTGGTATGAGTGCCGGCAGTTTAGCCGTATCGGCGCACATACTCTCCCCGCTATCCAAAGGGCTATTCAAGAGGGCTATAATGCAAGGCGGGGCTCATATGTACAACAAGGACAGGGATCTGCTCAGTAAAGCTGAAGCCATAGCCGGTGGCAAACGTTTAGCCAAAGAGTTGGGTTGCAGTGAAGACATGGATTGGATTCAATTTTTACGTACAGTTGACGCCAAGGATTTAGTTGAAAAAACCAGATTCTTGTCATACCCTGTGTTGGACACCGAGTTTTTACCACTTTCTGCTCGCAAAGCATTTCAGGAAAAACAATTTAATTCCGGTTTGGATTAGATTTTATTATACATTAATTTCAAGTAATAACTATATTTATAATTGGTTTCAGACATAGATTTAATGGCAGGCATCTCAAGCAATGAGGGCTCAATTCTTTCCGAAGTATATGTAATGCCCAATAAAAAAGTTTTTACATTGAATGATTTTGAGGCTGGGGTTAAGGCATCGGACAATTTATATCACAACATAGATGTCCAGAAAGTGATAGATTATTACCTGAAAGGTGTGGACACGAGTAGTACACCGGCTCTGAAGCGAGCGTTTTATGAATTTGTCGGCGATTTATGGATAAAATACCCGACATATGAGTTCGCCCGACAAATGGCCACAAGTGTTGGCAATCGGCATAACATATACTTCTATGAACTCTCATATCAAAGTCCATTCTATGCGAAGATTCTTGAGTGCAATGACGAGGATATGGCTGTCGGACACGGAATGGAAATGCCATTTGTCTTCGGACAACCATTTTTAGGGCAAACTATCAAATATTTTGACACAACTGATCGAAAATTTAGTCGCGCTGTTATGCGGATGTGGACTAACTTTGCCAAATACGGGTAAATATTTACATTTGGATGTAAATACATTGAATGTTATCTAAATTTAACATGCATCATAATATACAGTTAGCTATTATCGAGTTTAAAGTATAACATTCTCTCTTAATGTTCTTTGAAAAAAACTATAATTTTAATATTAATTTTTGATTTGATAGCAAACCGAACGACAAATGGCCGCAACTGTTGAGTGATCCGAATGTACCGAAAGTGAAGGATTTAAACCCCG